TGTTCAGTGATTCAAAGAATCATCATTCATTTAATTAAAATTATTTAGCACTAGAACTGTTTGAGGCCTAATATTTAAAGTTGGGAGTATTGTGGTGAGCAAAACACAAATGGGCTGACTCTCTTCGAACTTAATAATGTATAGTGATAGAGACAGGCATAAATGAGACATTAGGATGGAGTGTGTTAAGTTCCATTGATAGAGGTACCTAGGGTACCATGGGAGTGCAAGACAGGTATATCTGATCTATTTAAAAAAGGTTAGGGAACTGTCACAAAAATACAGTCTTATTCTTGATCCCTAGAAATCTTGATTTTTTAAAAGATCTGTACCAAAGAAGCGTTTTGTTGTTGTTGTTACTCTTATTATGATGATTATTATTTTAACTCCCCATAGGATTCAGCCAATTAGCCAGATTGGGGAAGCATTATTTTTGAGTAATTAAAATGGGCAGTAATCATGACAGGGTGTTTATTTATTTATTTATTTTTAAATAAATCTTTTAAAAAATATATTTTATTGATTTTTTACAGAGAGGAAGGGAGAGAGAGAGAGAGAGAGAGAGAGAGAGAGCGAGCGCGCACGCGCGCTCTAGAAACGTCGATGAGAGAGAAACATCGACCAGCTGCCTCTTGCACACCCCCTATCGGGGATGTGCCCGCAACCAAAGTACATGCCCCTGACCGGAATTGAACCTGGGACCTTTCAGTCCACAGACCGACACTACCACTGAGCCAAACCGGTTTCGGCATGACAGGGTGTTTAAATGCATTATCTAGAGATGCAATAGATGATTTCCAACGATTTCTACTTAGAGGCTAAAGGTTGATCTTTATGCTTATCCCTATTAAATTCTTGTTCTTAGATTATAGAAAATAACTGTCCCGATGGTGGTGGATGTGAGAGCCTGTCAATCAGTAGTACATATGAAAGATCCTGGAATCGTGGTTTAGCTATAAAAACCTAGTGAACAGCAGAGGTGGGCTTGACTGCTCCAGGGGCTACTATGAATCTTAGGGTGCATGACTGTTAACTTAGTATTGGAAAGGAGGAGGGAAGAGTCCCCTGTTCCACTTGCTTGGGGTACATCTGTATCCCAGTGGATAGTTTCTAGAATCACATTTAAAGAGGGTATTGACACTTGGGTATATGGAAAAAAAAAGTTTATATATATATATATGTATATATCTGTATTTGTAAAAAATGTTCTAAGTATTGTGATGGAAAACACAGGGTGCTATTTCACTTCAATATAAAGCACATTTCTAATAGCAGTACTGTTAGAAAGATGATAAATGAGGAGTACTCTGGCCCTGGAGGTGTTCAAGAAGAGATGTTGGGGATATTAAAGAAGTTGTGCCAGTGATCCTGTTTAACTTTTAACTTCAATGATCATGTATGTGTTTATAACAGATTCACACTCTTAGCTTTTTTTCTACCCTTCTATTCTCAGTTGCAGTCCTGAGATGCAATGGTTGTTTTTGTGAGTTTTACAGACATTTGGGTATAAAGAATAAGACAAATTCTTAGAACTGAAGTCATTCTTAATGATTAAGTTTTTATGGGGTTTAGGGGGTCATTGAGGATAGGCATAACTATTTACATAAATGCAATGTGATCTGATTTTTTACCTTTAGTTTTCCCCATTCCGTTTGATGGCTAGTCCATGCAGGTGGGACCTTCTAGTGGGAGCCTATAGTTCTGTAGGAATGGATAGGCACAAAGAATGAGTAGAATGTCTGTTACTTTTTATATAATTTTAACATGCTCTAAATAAGACTATATTATTATTATTATTATTATTATTATTATTATTATTATGTTTTGGATTCTTAACATATCTCAACTAATTAGAAAAGCTGATCTTTCCCTCACAGCATTTTTTTTAAATTAAATATTACATTTGATAGTCTCAGGACACTTTGAGCCTTTTGCATTCAGTGTTACAGACTGAAGTTGGATATTGGAGAGGCTTGGATTTGCTTTCTCTTGACCCAGTGTGACTTCCTGTTTCTAAGAAAACAGTTTTAAAGACTCTTAAAAGGAATTTTTTGCATGCTTGGCAGCTCTTGTAAAACCACACTTTAGAAAACCAGTATGAATGAAACATGTAAAAAAAATCAAAGAAATAACCATATTGCTTGACTAAATTAGCATTTCATTTTGTGGAAATTGGGTCCCGTAGACAAATCTCGTGATTTAGGAAGTATCTGCTTCTGGTAACCAGATAAACCAGGAACCAAAGTTTCCATGTGGTTAATCATCCTATTAGCTAAGGTGACATTTGATCACACATTGGGTTTTTCTCTGTTGGAGTTGATGCATACTAGGGAGTCTGGTTAATGTGTGTGTGTGTGTGTGTGTGTGTGTGTGTGTGTGTGTTTGTTTGTTTATATCAAACAGAAAATTGCAACTTGGGCATCTTCCTTCAAATGAATTCACATACTTGGAACTAATTCACTTGCGTTTTTAAAAAATCTTTTTAAAAATATATATATCGATATTTTAGTGATTTTTTACAGAGAGGAAGGGAGAGAGAGAGTTAGAAACATCGATGGGAGAGAGTCATTGATCAGCTGTCTCTTGCACACACCCTACTGGGGCTGTGCCCACAACCAAGGTACATGACCCTGACCGGAATCGAACCTGGGACCCTTCAGTCCGCAGGCTGATGCTCCATCCACTGAGCCAAACCGGATTTGGCTTCACTTGCATTTTTACAATATCCTGGGAAAGACCCAGTTATTCGCACCACTGGAGAAAATGTGGAGAAATGAACGATAGTCAGTCTTCAGTGGTTAAATCTTTCCCTTTGAGCAGGGGTGTGCTTGGCTCTCAGGGCAGGGATTCAGCTTCTCTCCTTTGGAATTGTCTGAGAAATTGTCTTCTTATCACTCTTTTAGTAGGGATGAACCATGTGTTTGTAACTACAAAGACAGTTTATTAATTGGATTCATATTTATTGAGTAACTACTATGTGTCACGCACTCTTCTAGAAGCAGGCAGGATGGGGAGGAACAAGGCAGGCAAGATCCTTGATTTTATTGCTCTATTTAACACTTATTTAAGGGCTTCCTATATAAGCCAGAAACTGTACTTGGCACTTTGTGGGAATTAAGTCATGACTGTAAACTTAGCATCGGAAGTTATTTAATCCTCCTAACAATGCTGTGAGGTCCAGAAGGAGGTCCAGTCACCTGGCTAGGAGGGGGCTGAGCCAGGTTTGCATGCAGGATGTGTGCTCATCACCACCCACTCGGTGGTCACTCTGTAAGGCTGACTTCATCATTTTACACATTCCCAATGAGAAAAACAAAACACACAGGGAAAATAAAAGGAAAATAATAACTACAGGTAATCTGATCAAAGTTAATGTATTGGTGTCTGTGTTCCATGTGTATATATAAACATACTAGAGGGCCTGTGCATGAAAATTCATGTACTGGGAGGGGTACCTCAACACTGCCTGCCCTCTCTCGCAGTCCAGGAGCCCTCAGGGGTGGGAGGCGACCTGATAATCAGGGGAAGGAGACGCCCCATCACACCTCTGCTGCTGCCTCTGCTGGGAGCACAAGCCTTGGCTGGCCCTGGTTACCGGAGCCTCAGGCGGCCCTGGGTGGCTGGGTTGCTGCCAAGGCTTGTCTGCACCTCGGCTGGCCCTGCTTGCTTGAGGCTCAGTCAGTGAGGGGTGCAGGTGGACCTGAGGCCCCTGGCGAGGCTGTAGGGATTCTGGCTACAGCTCTCAGACCAGCTGGCCCTACCCCCACTGTGGGCGCCACCATCTTGTGATGGTATGATGGTCAATTTGCATATAACATCTTTATAATATAAAATATCTTATGTTTTATTGACTTACTAGAGGCCTGGCGCATGAAATTCATGCACGGGTATGGTCCCTAGGTGATCAAGGCCATCTTCCCTGGCTGCCCTCAACTGGTCCTACCCCCACCACCACCCACCTCTGGTTCCCTGTTTGCCTTTGGGTGATTAGCTCACTGTTCCTGCCTGCTCATTGGCCCCATGCCCACCATGGTTCCCCCTCTGTGTGTGGGGCAACTGGTAGGGCAGGGGCCTTGGCCTGGCACTGCCCGCATCCCCCACCATACACCCCCAGTTCCCTGTTCACCATCAGGTGATCAGAGTCTGCCAGCCAGGGAAAGGGACTAAGAGGTGGTCAGTGTGCCTCATAGTAACTGGTCCAGCGGTCATTCTGGTCATTCCATTGTTAGGGTTAATTTACATATTACCCTTTTATTATATAGGATAGAGTCCTGGTGCACGGGTGGGGTCTGGCTGGTATGCCCTGATGGGGGCCCTGGATCAGGGGGTCCCTGCTGGGGCGAAGGGCCATGGGTAGTTTGCAGGCTGGCCTCACCATCGATTGGGGTGGGTGCCCCCACTGGGGGACAGGGCCAGCCTGGGCAAGGGGCCACGGGCAGTTTGCAGGCTGGTCACGCACGCTCCTGAATGGGGTGGGGATCCCCACAGGGAGGCAGGGCCAGTCAGGGTGAGGGACCACTGGGGGTTTGCAGGTTGGCCATGCTCCCAATTGGGGTGGGTTGGGGATTTCCTCTCGGGGGGGCGGGACCAGCCTGAGCAAGGGGCCACAATCATTCTGGTCATTCCGCGTTTTGGCCGCTGGGCTTTTTTATATAGGGTTACCACCTATTTTTCACAACATATTATAAATGTTTTGTAGGCTAATACATTTTCTAAATAGAATTTTACATAGTTCTACAATGTCCCATGGCTTGTCTATGTCATGATTTATCTAACCAGCGTCCTACCACTTACTAATGTTACTTAATTTTGAATTTCATAAGTCCTGCTATAATTAATCCCTTTAAAATCACATCGTTTTATAAATCCATGATCCTTAGAAAGCTTTTTTAATGAAGAACAGTATTAAAAATCTTTCTATATGTGTATACAGGATCCATGTGCTGTCTGTGCTCTTTGAATGTGACAATGCTAACAACATAACCATCTTTTCCTTCTAGGTTAGTGGATGACAGGTGTGTGGTGCACCCGGAGGCAGGGGACCTCGCCAATCCTCCCAAGAAGTTCAGAGGTAAGAAACAAATATATATTTTTACTATGTGACCTCAGGGAGCAGGGGTTATTTTTAACCTTAAAATAAGTAATTTAGCCAATGTGAAGCTTTCACATATAAATATTTGAAAATTCTCTCATTGTTTTCATCTTTTATGAAAGAATCGTTTTGTGTGTTTTTTTGTTTGTTTGTTTGTTTTTCTTTTTCTTACTAGACAGTAGTCTATCCATTGAAAGGAAATCTTGGAAATAAGCTGTGAGAGGCCACTTTTCAAACCAGTACATCCAGCTGAATGTATATATAGTTCGGTGACAGTTATACTATAAATGTTAGTGTTTCGTTAGCAGCTCTTTAGTTTATCTTTGTAAAATGTCCAGGAGGGTGACAGTGATGTGTTAGCTTAGCTTTCCAAATCTCACTGTGGATGGTGTGTAATAACTAACAATTGTCTTAGAACTCTTTTCTATGTATAATTTTAGAAGTAGCATGATACTATCAACTAAGGAATTAGTCATAGTAGGAGATTGATTATTATTCGACTGTTATGAAAGAAAGATTAATAGAACCTGCAAAGAATCATATGCGACTAAAACCAGTAATTACAAGCTTGCTCAAATCAATTTCATAGTTTGTGTGTACTTAGAACAAGACGTTCATTTTGAACATACTGCCAGCATCTGTCTCACATGGTGAAAAGCAGCTGTAATGAGAGATAAAAATGTGGAGAGAGAATGGAAGGAGTCCCCAGAGCCCACAGCCGAGTCAGGACATGCTACTGACCGCCCTGGGGACGGGAGATGTTAACATCTGGAAAATAGTTCCCACGTTTCACTCTCTGTGATAGGCATTTTCCACACAATTCTCATTATAAAAATACGTTTTATTCTGCCTAAACGCAGAAACTGGTGGAGAGAGTGACAAGCACAGTACATGTCTTTTGAGTTAAATTGGTCACTTTGAATGAGAGATCCACACTTCTCCCGGTGGAAAGTTAACATAAGGCAGGCTGTGGGAAATACACTGCCCATGAGAAGCACCCATAAAACTGCGCAGTAGGGACACTCCCCACTGGGGATGTTACCAAAACCCAAGTGTGTGTGCCTGACACTTCAAAAGGCCAACACGCAAAATGTCTGAGTTTGGAGTAAGACAAGGGTTATTGATTAAGAAGGCACTCACTGATAAGATGAGAGATTTAAGGGTGCCTCAAATCCATCTTGCTCACTGGACTGGGCTGACGGGTTTTTAGGGTGACGGGAGCAGGTATGCGAAGTGCTGGCGGGCATGTTTTAGCTGGCGGACGTTGGAACTTGGCCATTTATGGTAAAGGGGTACCAACACCAGATCTTCCTGAACAGTGGACCGTTGTCTTCTGAAAGGGTACTGGTGTAAAGTTCTGGTTCTGTGCTGCCTTTTGGTTCGGTGGTGGTGGTGGTGGTGGTGGTGGTGGTGGTGGTTCGGTGGTGGTGGTAATGGTGGTTCGGTGGTGGTGGTGGTGGTGGTGGTGGTAGTGGTGGTGGTGGTGATGGTGGTTCGGTGGTGGTGGTGATGGTGGTTCGGTGGTGGTGGTGGTGGTGGTGGTGGTGGTGGTAGTGCTGGTGGTGGTGGTGGTGGTGGTGGTGGTGGTGATGGTGGTTCGGTGGTGGTGGTGGTGGTGGTGGTGGTGGTGGTAGTGGTGGTGGTGGTGGTGGTGGTTCGGTGGTGGTGGTGATGGTGGTTCGGTGGTGGTGGTGGTGGTGGTGGTAGTGGTGGTGGTGGTTCGGTAGTGGTGGTTCGGTGGTGGTGGTTCGGTAGTGGTGGTGGTGGTGGTGGTGGTGGTGGTGAGACTGGTTCCCGGTGCAGCTGGAGGTCACAGCTCTCTCTTCTGCACATGATTTGGCTGCATGACATGTGGTTTTGGTCTGTTGTCTCTGAAAGACAACTTAGTGCCTCATTCATTAATCAGGACAGGATCATTTAGTGCTGATTCTGCATATAAGGAAGGACTCACAATAGAACTACTGTGAAGGAGAGTCAGCAGTGTGACAAAAATCAGATCAATCTGCCAGAGACTGCACAGCGAGTGCGTGGAAATTATTTCCAAGACAGGAGAGGGTAGAGAAGCCCCAATAGAAAAACAGACAGGTTCTAAAAAGTTTGATATTTGTTATGCTAAGTGGAATAAGCCAAACTGAGAAAGACAAATATCACAGGATCTCACTTATTTGTGGAACCTAATGAACAAAATGAATTGACCATCATAATAAGATGTGAAGCCTGGAGGCATGGAACAGACCAACATACCTCAATGTGTGGTTAGGGGGGTGAGAAGAGATAAACCAAAGAACTTACATACTCACTAGAGGCCCAGTGCATGAAATTTGTGCACGGTCCCTAGGCCTGGCCTACAATCAGGACCATCTTCCCCAGCTGCTTGCAGTCGTCCCTGCCCCCTGCTGCCACCCACCTTCAGTTCCCTGGTCACCATCGGGTGATCAGGCCTGCCAGTGGGGAAAAGGCACAGAGAGGGGGGCTGTTCCCACCTGCTCACCAGTTCCTTCCTCTTCATGGGTGGCCATCAGGTGATCGGAGCCTACCGGCTGGGGAAAGGGACCAAGGTGTCAGTGTGCCTCATAGGTCTAGCGGTTGTTTTGTTCATTCTGCTGTTAGAGTCAATTTGCATATTAACCGTTTATTATATAGGATAGAGGCCTGGTGCATGGTTTGGGGCCAGCTGGCCTGCCCTGGGGGGGGGGGCCTCGAATCGGGGTGGGGAATCCCTGCTGAAGGGCAGGGCTGGCCTGGGCAAGGGGCCACAGGCATTTTGCAGGCCTGCCAGACCCCCAATTGGGGTGTGGGTCCCCACTGGGGAGTGGGGATGGCGGGGCTGGCCAGGGTGAGGGGCCACCGGGGGTTTGTAGTCCGGCCATGATCCTACTGGGGTGGGGGTGCCCACTAGGGGTGGGACTGACCTGGGCAAGGGGCTGCAGGCAGTTTCCAGGCTGGCACACCCAGCTTTGTCAGGAAGGATGTCTGAAATGACGTCCCATCTATCCGGTCTAACTAGCATATTACCCTTTTATTAGTTTAGATATGCATAGCCCATGGACATGGGCAGTAGGGTAGTGAAGACGGGGGGGTAGGGTGGGGGGGCGGGGGGGGAAGGAGTGGGTAGGGGCTGGGAGAAAGGGGAGGAAGAGGGAAAATGGGTTATATCTCCAATACTATTAACAATAAAAAAATATATATATTAAAAATAGTTTGATCTAGCACATTATGTAAGGATGAGGAGAGAATTAGTGCTTTGGCAAAGGGAACTGAGGAACTCACCCAGGATGCAGTACAGCGAGATAGAGAAAAGGAAAATGTGGATGAGATTGGAGAGCAGACTGAGAAGGTTTGGCAGTACCTAAGCCAGTTGTAGAAGGAGAAGCAAATGGGCCTGAAGCCGTATGTCAAGGGATCCTGGTGAGAACTTCCCTAAGCTGAAGAAAAACAAGGATGCCTCAGGTGGAAGAGGCGCATGGAGGTCAGAGTGGTTAACGATAGACAGAAACGAATCCACAGAGACTGCTTTGTGAACTGTAGCTCCTTAAAGATAAAAAGCCTTGAAGGCAAACTGGGACAACAAATCTGCATTTGTAAAGGGAAAAAGCATGGGGTTCAGGTTTTGACTGTACCACTCCCCGGCTGTGTCATTGGAACTAGGTCACCTAACCGCTTTGAGCCTCAGAGGACATCCTGTCATTGGCCCGTGGGAGTGGGGGTGGGTAATAACAAGAGCAAGGCCAAACACACAAGGCTTTGTGCGGCTGGAAAGCTTTCCAGAGAATAAACATGGACGTGTTTTAAGTCACTATACAGATGGTAGTTAACTTGGAATAGGTAAGCACAAAGTATTTCCTTTAAACGTATTTGACTCTATCTTATAACTTCTTCAAGGGCAGGATTTTATTCTTCTCTTTTTGTGTTTTTCAAGCATAGAGGTTCCCCCATGTCTATCCCAAAAAATAGCTATTATATGATTTTGGATGAGAGACCCAAACTTTGCCCTGGGATCGTGTGATAAAACCTGGGTCCCAGGGGTGCCCCAACTTCACTGCCAGGAGCATGGGTAGCCTTATTTCTCTGTTAGTTAGAGGCAAGATTAATCTTTTAAAGATAAACTTTTGGGGTTTGTGGCTGCCTTTTTTCTTTTTCTCTTTCCCTGTGAATTGTTTTAAAGTACAAAGAGTATTTTAGTGTGTCTGAGACAACCCTTGGTTAAATGCTTTGTACCCAGTAGGTAATTATATACAGACTAGAGGCCCGGTGCACGAGCCCAGCCTGCACCCTCTCCAATCAGGGACCCCGTGGGGGATGTCTAACTGCTGGTCTAGGCCCACTCCCACAGGGATCAGGCTTAAATTGGGAGTCAAACATTCCTCTCCCAATCCGGGACTGCTAGTTTCTAACCGCTTGCCTGCCTGATTGCCCCTAACTGCTTCTGCCTGCCAGCCTTCACCCCCTAACTGCTCCCCTGCTGTCCTGATTAATACCTAACTGCTCCCCTGTTGCCCCAATCGCTCCCAACTGCCCTTCCCTGCTGGTCTGGTTGCCCCCAACTGCCCTCCCCTGCCAGCCTGGTTTTACCCAACTGCCTTCTCCTGCCAGACTGATGGCCCCTAGCTGCCCTCTCCTGTAGGCCTGGTTTCCCCCGCAAACTGCCCTCCCCTGAAAGCCTAGTTGCCTCCATTGACCTCCCCTGCCAGCCTGATCTCACCCCCAGTGATCCTCCTTTGCTGGCCAATTTGGTTCTAATCAGTCGGTTTCTATGCCAATCAGCGTCAAAAGCTCTGTCTCTTAGGCAGCCATTGGCTCCTCACAGTTGACCCAGATTTGATTCTGATTGGTTGGTTTCTTTGCCAGTCATCATCTCTGGGCCTGTCAATGGGGCCTTATCATAAAGGTGGGGCTGATCAGCAGCCTGAGTGGAGGCCTGGAGAGAAATGGAGGTGTGGCTGCTGACCAGGCCTGGAGCTAAAGAGAAAGGCAAGTGC